TGATTCCAAAAACAGCTTTCTTCCCTGTTAGGAAACTAGAGATAATAAATCATCTTGTTAGTCTGTCCCAGATTATTTTTATTCTCATCCCTTATGTAACTTTAAATAAGGATGACTTTTTATTTAAACTTTTAATTTGTTCAAAAAGAAATTCAAATTGATTGATAACATTTTAAACATACACACTGAAATGTGGGACTAACAGATTTGTTGAAGTACTGAAACTCCAAAAAGAAAACTACCAAACAAGGTAGCTAGGGCATTGCCTTAAGGCAAAGCTATTTTAATTTAAGTATCTTATTTACTAAATATTATAATTTTATAAATACGTATGACATTTCAACGTTTTGCTCTGCGTTACATTAATTTGTACATGTAACCTAAATCTAACAGTAAATGAGAATACTAATTCTCTGTCTTTAGAAGTGTTGGAAAAGAGAATTTTTTAACTAACAGAAACGTTATGCCCCTGGAACGAAATGTAAAAACAGTTTGTTGTTACCGTAGACATAAAACCGCCAATTTCCTGAGGGTCGAGGTTTAGGACTAGCTTTACGAAACCCCAGACCGTCTCTTGTTTCAATTTGTATTTTTTCTATTTATAGCAACCTGACAATTTTCCGTTTCACTAACGTTATGTGTTTGCTTTTACTTCTTGTGCTGTTGTCAAGTTATGGGGTTTCTAGCATAAATTATATTTTTGAATGTATCTATAAAGTTATTGATAGCTTGGCTACCTATAGATCATTTTTTACCATTTAATATTACTAAAAAAAAACCAATTATTGTGTAATAAGTATAAGTTGCACTATTTCATTCCCTATGTTGTGTTGTGTAAGAAATACAATATAATAATAAATTAATAAATAAATCTCACAACTGTGGCAATTACAATACAATGGCATATTATTTTGACCATCCAATACTCTGGTGAACAACTGTTCTATAACAAATGTCTTTGCTAAATCTTGGTAAAAAGGCTTTAAAAAAAGGAACTGTATATATTTATATACAAAACTAAAACTTGGTTAGAACAAAAAATCGTTGATTTGTCAATAGTATGTTAACATAACTACATTAGTAGATCTTCCTATCACACAAATATATACATATATATATAATATTAAATGCTTTTGGAATGGGAAACTCTCGAAAATAAATTGTTACCTTACAAGAAAGGAAGGAGGGCATCAAAGAGACCAATGGACGATAAAGAACCATGCAAATATACAGAAAAAATTAAGGTCCACGAAGATGACCTAACAAAACACTCTCACAGGATTTGAATAACTATAGAATAATTAAAACCATTACTTTGCAAAAAGTGTATTAATGATTAATAATGTTTAGATATTTAAGTTTTATATCCAATCGGTTATTATATTTCTTAAAACGTTTGACGGAACTTTAATGTGCACTTCCTTTATAAGCAAAAAAAAAATGTAAAATGATATAATACAAATTTTAGTTTAGTTAATGTGTAGAGAACTGATAATTAATACATTAAAAACTATTGTTCGATCTAAAGGAATAATAATTAATTGTAAAGGGCAAATCTGTCATCTCCTACCACACTTCAATCTGGATTTAGTGGGATTTGTGTGCGTTTATATTATATATGTGAATCGATGCATTCTATGTAGTATAAAATGTTTTAAACGAGATAACAAAAAGTATGAGCTATGTTTAGTAAAATAATTTGTTTTTGAACACCTGTTTAAATTTTGTTCGTTAAATAAGTGGCAATGGTTATTCCTTCATTTTATTAAATTGAAACATTAATGTTTTTAAATTTCATATTGTGAAAATATCCTTATGTAACGATGAAATAATAAAATAATAAAAGAGATACAAAAAATTTGATAGCGAATTTAGACGTAATATAAACTAAAAATCAATAAGAAGTTTTGGGATGTCTCAAAAGGAAACTTCAATAATTTATAGTTTAGATTAGTCTTGATGTAAATGCTAGCAGATTTTTGTGAGCTTTTAAATAAATAATATATTTTATATTATAAACATTAAAATTGCCATCAATCATTTGGTAAAAGCTCAAGCGTCCATTAAGTTGGATATAACAAAATGTATCAACTTTAGATATGTACAAATTATTGTAGGCGTTTGTAAACAACGTGTATGCAGAGTAAAACATTTATCAAGGTTATAATAGAATTCAGTAGTGTTAAATTTTTAGCACAACCAATAGTAATGAAGTAACAAACAACAATCCAAAGTTTTTGAAAATCTTTTCCAAACATAAGAAGCTTATTGTGAAGTGATAATACTCCCGAGAAAACCACTGCTTCCAAGTGATAAGCGACTGTTAAGCGATTGTGTTGCGTGGGGGAGGAAACTCCTTTTGACAAATGTATAAAATATGATGTACAGTTATGTCTTTCTAAGACATTTATGTCTAAAAGTAAGTTATTAAGCAATTGTAATTTGGGTGATGCGTATTATTTTGTAATTCGTTTTTTGATGATTATCCTCACACTAAAAGTTGATTTTGTATAAAGAAATTTTACTTTGAATTCTTAAGGTTAAATCTTAGTTCCAACAAATCGGTTTATGTCAATACAGTCGTGACTTAATAACGTGAGACGACCCCAAACACCATGATGTATGTTATTCATAGCCTAGCAAAGTTTGCTCATCATAGAGGCTGAGCTCAGATTTACTGGTTCTATTTCCGGTTACTACATTACATCCGGCTGTTTGTGATTGTTGCAAGAAATTATTCATAAGAACTCTATGAGGTTTGCATAAGAAATGTATGCCTTATTAAGCTCAAAAATTTTCGATAGTCTCAAAACTTGGATATAAGTCAATTGATTCTCACTTTTATTAGGGAACTAAATTAGACTTATACCGGGTGTCCCATAATAGTCCCCCTGGTTAATTTTTAAACAGCTGCATATATTCAAACGAGCTTCGTTACAAGTTACTAGGGTAATGTAAAGTACTTTTTGGGGGCATTTTGAAATTCACCCCCTATTATGGGCACCCGCTATATTTCATTTGCAGAGGCGGACCAAGTCACATTTTAAATTTAACAAATACCTAGCAATGTTATGGAAATGATTTTTTGTTGGGTGGCATGAAATCCTAAGGTTTTGTTTTGTAACAATAATTTTTATCTCTTGTAATCGATTTTTCACAGTATATATAGTATTTTATGAGCGTAGCTTGCCTAGTTACCTAGTTTAATTTTTTTGATGTTATGAGTACATTTAAAACTTTTTAAAAACCTAATACTTATATTTTTTCCACACTGCAAATTTATGTTAATCTGTATTATTTGAGTATTAATAGTAGCAAAGGCCTCTAAATTTATGTTTGTTCAGCATCCAATATGCTATTACCCTTTCTATACTGAATTATACTGGATTATAAATTACCCAGTAATTTCTTTATATATTTTGTCAAAAAAACTTGTCATTAATATTAAATAACGTCAAATTAAAAAAGGTTAAATTACCTGTTTGGTCAAATTGGGGTCCAAGATTTGGTCAAACGGGTTATGCGGATTTAGGTTAGTCAGACATCATTAGATCGTCGTATAGGAACTTATCTTGAAGAAATGTGTCAAAAGTTCGAAACAGGTCTCCTCAGGTAAGATAAGCTAAGTTATTTAAACACATTTACAAACATTGAAGCATGTAACGTAAAAGAATATTGATCAAAATCCTCACTTCCGAAAATTATTATACATCCACCTATCTGGTTTTGGGGCCAGACATCAGTTTTTTGTTACGAAAATGCAAAAGGTTTTAAGTAAAAACATTTTTTTTAAAGGGGGTTTAATCAAATTTATATCTGGAAAATGGGTTAGTTTAATATTTGACTGTATTACCGCATATCCCTTTGGTAGCGTATTTTTACGTTTCGTCGTGTTGGATTGAATGTACACAGAACCTAAGTTGAATAGAGTATATCCTAACTCCATACATCTTGCACAGAACCGATGGGAAGAACATTGATACGTCATTGTACTGTAAATCACAGACATGATATCAATCATGAAATCACCAGGTTTGGTTGGAAGTTGACCTCACAAACATAAAAACCATACAGAAGCATGGTGTTCAAAAGCACTCTGATCAATTATTGTGACCCAGCAGATGCACGCGAGTTCCTTGCGTTTCCATTGGGATCCAATGAGATCAATTAAATGATTGATCCTTGTTCTTTAGTTGCATACTTACTTTGCACAACATGGTTGGACAGTTCTTAATTGCTAGATAATATGAACACTTAATTTTGTACAGATAACCTATACAATATAAAATACAACTTTTGGTTTTAGGTTTGATTATATACATATTTGTGGTCTTAAATCCATTTTTCTAACGGATTATCATAATAACCTACTATATTCTAAGGTGTTTCTTTATTGTTTCGATGTCTTTAGATACATACACCGAATTGTGTTGTATTTATGAGTATGAAATCACTAAAGTTTAGTGTTTATATGTTAAAAAGTAGTTATAAATACTAATTACCTTACCATTACTTAAAAATTAACAAGAACTATACCAATTATCTCTACAGAATATCCTTCATTAAACTAAACTAAAGGACTTATTGTTACGTTACGGAGCTGCAGCCCTATTTCACGTGCAAGAATTTCATTACACAGGTCCTCCTTATGTAGGGATACGCCATACTTAAATCTACGGGGCATCGTAAAATAGCTGGCTGGGTGTGTGTAAGATCGTTAGAAAAACAATTTTGCTTTTCCAAGCTGAAAAGTTAAAACAATATTGCATCTGTGGCATTTATATATTTTGGTTAATCAAAACCGTGATCTTGGTAACAACTAGATGGATTGCCCGCTTGTAATGAAGTCACGTCCGTTGGGAAGATTTAACTGACAATGATAACTTGTGGTAAAGGATCAAGCATATTTTCAATGACTTACAACTAATACTATGTAGGTATTGAACATGTGCTTGGCTTAGGTATTCCTAGAGTTTTGTAATCGACAAAAGTAGTAAAACCTATCCGGGATTGGTCAATTTCCGCCCAGACTCGGAGGTGGTAACTGCAAAGTTTATGTCGCAAGCTGAGACCGGATGTTCGTAGTACACGGGTTCTGGGAGACAATTTGTTTGTTATTTGCTAAAGTCAATAAAACATCAGTATCATAGCTTATATGTCATTGGATATAAAAATTGCGGGTTCTATGAAAATACGGGCTGTCAAATTTGGTCTTATACAACAACTTTCAATGTCTTCATTATTCAATTTAATAGACATTTTTATTTCCTAAGCATGGTCGTTTAAACAAAATTTGTTATAGAACATGTATTAATGTATATTAATCAAAATCGTAATTGTATTAAAAACTAGATGAATTGCCTGCTTGTAATGCAGTCACTTCATTCCTATAAACACTAATATTTGATGTTTTTTACAAAATAGATTTAGCCTACAAACTTTTGCTGCTTAGCTCATTTACTGAAAATGGATTTCAGTTTGTGTTTTACTGTTGTACAACTGATTTTAATCGTACAAAACACAGTTTATGGAATTCTGTTTATAGTTGAGCATCAAGGAGCTGAATCGTACGAACATTATACACGTTTGTTAGAGGGTAAAAAATGTTCTCATAGAAGATCTATTGTGCCTACCTCAAAGGTTATACAACAGATTACCATCAAGGAGCTAAATCGTACGTACTTTCAGAGGGTAAAAAATGTTCTCATAGAAGATCTATTGTGCCTGCCTCAAAGGTTATACAACAGATTACCATCAAGGAGCTAAATCGTACGTACTTTCAGAGGGTAAGAAATGTTCTCATAGAAGATCTATTGTGCCTGCCATCAAAGGTTATACAACAGATTACCATCATGGAGCTAAATCGTACGTACTTTCAGAGGGTAAAAATGTTCTCATAGAAGATCTATTGTGCCTGCTTTCAAAGGTTGTACAACAGATTACCATCAAGGAGCTAAATCGTACGTACTTTGAGAGAGTAAGAAATGTTCTCATAGAAGACCTATTGTGCCTGCCTCAAAGGTCAACATATTACCATCAAGGAGCTGAATCGTACGTACTTTCAGAGAATAAGAAATGTTCTCATAGAAGATCTATTGTGACTGCTATCAAAGGTTATACGACAGGTCACAACTACCTAACTGCATGAACAAGTCTAAATGTACACTATGGGGTAATTATTACTTTTGTGTTTTTTAGAATATTGTTGTGCTCAAAAGCATAGCCACTCTCATAAAAACTGTTGTTGAAGGTAAGCAAAATTAAATGAGTGTTACCATTTCATTCTAATTCGTTAGTTTCTCTCTTTGTTTATATTTTGAGATTTAATAAAATTTATGAACAGTTACCTGTTTTTGTCGCCTTCATCATGAAGAAAACAAATACATTTATTACATCCGTTTCAAAAATTATGTCTACATTATGAGCATTTACAAGCCCCAATGCTTTTGGATGATTTGGGTATGTTTGGAGTATTTCAATATATAAATGATCACCAAAATTATTAACTTCGAATATAACTTTTGTTCGGCAAGTATACAATAACGTGTTTGATCGGTTGTCACCTTAGGATCTGGAGATTAAGTATCAGATGATCTTTAATTTCTTTCTGATTAGATCCAGCCATTTGGACAGAGATATCAATAAACTCAAAACTAATACAAACGGTTAAGTACGGTAGTGTAGGTTAAACGGTTTGACTTTCATAGCATCATTCGCATGTTAAATTATGTAGGTAAATTGAAGAGAGAAAACTTAATATTATTACATTGTCATATACACTACTATATGACTAAACTCTATCAGACAAGTAAGGTCCCCGACCTTTTCAGTGTGAATAACCTTTATACATTGAATTATTTTCATTGTGACGGATGAAAATTATCAAGTTAATTAACCCAGCGGTCAGTGATGTCCGGTTTACCAGTCCGTGCAGCCCATGTGTTGCCAGTTGCGGTGTGTGGTTTGCACTCGCTTCTGAAAATATATCTTTTTCTTCATATATTTTTTTATCTTCGACCTTAATAACACAGTTCGCTTTAAGGATTGTTTGAAATTCACTAAACTATTTGGTTGTTTGTAGATGTCTTGCACCGATATTGTGAATTTCCCACACTAGTTAGCGAAGTACATATCAAGAAACAAAAACCGAATTCAAGAAATTTTGAGTGCCTCTGTGTAAAATGTTTATCGTAATTTAACAATAATCATAGTTAAGATGTTTTTCGGAAATTCTTAGGTCTTTTGAACTATTCATCTCAATAATGGAAGAGTAGGCCTACCAAGAAACGGACAACATTCTTCACAAACAAAAAACTCACAATTGTTTCTTATCAACATATTTTAAACTAGATGATGACTAAATATGTAGCCCAAATATACGGAAACGTCACATATGAAGGCCCTATAGGGATGTGATAGTACGGGAGTTATTATCAACCATTTATTTTTTATCAGCCATACACACCTGAAATACTAACAGTGTTCTGTGATTGTGAAATGTGGTATCATGCCTAATTATGATTTGAATATGGAATGCATTAAGCAAAACATTTCAATTATAAGCCATATTTGAATAAAACTTAAATATCCCTCTCCACACATCTAACTTAAATATACGAAATCTGTCTATTTATGCCTAAAGCCTTGGTAAAGCTGGAATTCTCATTCACATTGAAAGAGCACTATGATTCTCATTACATCTATTTGCTTAAAATATTTAATTGTAAGCTATTAGCTAACACACAGCTAGAAATCCGAACAACTCTTGTTTTAGTGGATATACAAAAAAACTCGTTCATCCACTCATTTTCTTTCTTTTTCCATGAAATGGTATGAATTGTTTACCTGGTGTAAAGGGGGTAATGGTATAATTCCACCATACTGATGTTAAATTATGCGTTGAAAGCTACAAACAAAAACTAGCAAAAGATAAGTTTATAAAACTTAAAATAAGAACAATCCAATAATTATAAATTACCATTATTTAAATTTAAAAACTTTTGTCATTGACTTGCATTTCACTGTTAAGGAAGAAGAAGGGAGAACTAAGGGAGATTATCTGAAACAGGCAACTTACGATGGGCATCATTTAAATTCTTGAACCAATCAAAACCTTGACTAACAAAAGAATGATGAAATTTATCCTACTTATGAGAAGGGCTATTATTTAAATATACACCTTTGTATTTATGAGTTGTATTTTAATGTTTAATTGACTCAAGCTGCATATAAGGTACAATTTATGTCTAAAAATGTTTTCCATAAATTATCTTTACAACACTAAAACTTAGAAAAAGGGTCTTGTAAACATAATCACCACATCAATGTAGATATGTTCATATTACTAAACACAGTCAAATGATAATCGTTCATGCAAGCCACGACATGTTCAATATGTCAGTTCCGTGTCTGTAACTGGAGTAGCTGAATGAATACTGATGTTCTGCTCTTTAACCGCTGAGCCAGCCTCAGATCATAAATAAACCAATGTACCAGACTCAGCCCATAATGTAACTGACCATTTACCAATTCCGTCATTTTAGCAACACTCGCACATACATACTCACACACACACACACACACGCACGCACACACACGCTTATATCTAGGCCCCTCGCCCACTATACGATTTCGGTCGTACGACACTGTGTCGGAACGACATCATTTCAACAGTGAACCATTGGATCTTATGAGAGCTCGCCCACTGTACGATAATCTCACGACTACGACAAACTGTCGTGAAGCAGTCGTCCACTGCCACTGTGATACATGACTGTCGTACGACTGTCTAAAGGTCGATTCATACACATCAGTTACGGAACGTCACAGTCCAGTCACTTCAGGCACGTCACAGTTAACAAAAATATTCTTTAATGGATTTGCTATTGCGCTATCTACACTCATCCGTTGCAGTTCCGTCAGTCGCTCTGCTGGCATCCGTCAGTCAATTTCAGATTTCTTTCCAACGATACTTTTTGATTCTTCGGACGCCTGACGGAACTGTTTGAGGTTAGAAAATAGTGTTATTGTTATTTAAATGGTTGCGTTTGTATTTTGAGTACTGTTTGTAACAATCAACAAGATGGACAATGATAATTTAATAGAATATAGGTTTAAAATTTAAATTTTTTGACTGTAAATTACTGTAAATATTAGAGACGGAAGACTGACTGAAACCAACTGACGGACAATTGAGTGAGAAATTGCGGATGCAACTGTGACTGGACTGTAACTGGACTGCAACTGGACTGTAACGGAACTGTGACTGGACTGATGTGTGTGAATCGACCTTAACTCGCAGTGGCGTGCACGATCAAATGGGCGCTCGCCCACTATACGATTTTTATCGTGTGTCGTGCGTTCTCCCCAGTAGTCCTATACCTTTTACAATTAACTCATACTTCATTATTATAGTTGGTATATCACTTGGTTCTGCCCTTTTTACCATTTTCTTGCGTATTTCTTTTTCTTATAGTGAATAAATATTTTTTACAATTCATTCATACTTTTTATTATAATGTTTGATAAAACGCTTGGTTTTTTAACCATTATTTTGCGTAATTTTGATCTTCCAATATATTTTTTACAATTTGTTCATATATATTTTCTTTATAATAGTTTTATATACTTCTCCACTTATAAGTAAATATACCAAAAGAATTATTGAAACAATGCGAGTTGGTTGTTATTTAATATTTTATAATCATTATTATTAATTATATTGTGTAGAATAGTTTCACTAATACCTAAATATTACTTTTTGTAGATTATATTCATAACATTAAATCAATAATATTTAAAAATAAATAAAAAAAATTTACCTACAAACCTTTCCCCAGACTATCCCAAAAACCTATAAACACGTTTAAAATGCATGGACTTTATAATTTGAAAATGTCTTTAAATACATTAACTTAAGAAATAATCTACACATAAAAAGAATTATTTTCTTAATGCTGTAGGCCTACATTGGCCACTATCGCTTAATCTTCGCCACAGCAGCCACATTGCAACAACACGTAACAGATTCATTGTTTTACTATTTGATACAGAACCACTGTTTTAAGATATTGCGCAACACACCTCACTCATCCA